GAAGAATTGTTTACCAAATTTCCTTAGTGTTCTTCCTTGTTTTGATAGTATTTATTCATGTAAAATGTATTTAATGTTAATATTTATTTTTCCTTGCTAGCCACAGAGGAGATCATAAAAGTAGTCAGAGAAGTTCTGCTATTGTTTTTCAGTTGTGTGTGCACTGTGTTGATGATCAACTTCAAGCAGTATTTTATTCTTAGGAATCTTTTGAAGCCACATATTCACTTTAGGAAGCATATGTTTTGTTAACTCTTGAGTGTGATGTATAAATCTAACTAACCAGTCACATGTTACAATTCACTGAGGGCCCCAGTGGGAGCCTGTCTCCTAGTGGAATTCCTTCTCTTTCCTCAAGATACCTCATCAACTTCATAGGACACAAGATACTCTGAGTAAAGGCATTAGTGAACCACATTATACAAATATAACCACATTATAAAATAATTTCTTTTTTATTCTTCTTAATAAAAATAATTTACAAATAGAAGCTCTAATATTTTRTTTTTACATCCCATCTATGCATCTCCCCTTTACTGTGAGACACCAAATTCCACTGTTTTAGCTTTCTTTGCATTCTTAGCAGTAATATCTCCTCTTTTCCTTTTCTTTGTGATTAAGTTTAAGTTGTTGGATTATTATTTTTGTAATAGCTTTGTTAATTTTTCACATACCATATAATTCACTCATTTAAAGTTTACAATTAAGTGGTTTTTAGTATTTTCGGAATTGTGCAATCATTACCACAATCAAATTTAGAAAACTTCTTGACTCAAAAAGAACCCAATATCCTATTCGGTATCACCCCAGACTTCCCATTCCCTCACCTCTCACTGCCCCACTAACCCTAAGCAACTATTAATGTATTTTCTGTCTCTATAGATTTGGTTATTCTGGGCTTTCAAATAAATGCAAGTCATAATCATGTTTGAGTTCTTTGGATTGGCTTTTAAAAAAATATAGCATGTATTAAAGTTTCATCCATTTTGTAAAATGTGTCATTATGTCATTCCTTTTTATGGTCAAATAATATTCTATTGTATGGATATACTGCATTTTGTTTATCCATTTATCAGTTGACAGATGTTTTGGTTGCTTCCATCTTTTGGCTCCTATGAATAGTGCTGCTGTATATGATGCCATATGACTACCTTATAAAAGTCTCATGTTCTGCCAACTCAACTGGATAATCCTAAACACACTCTTAATATGAAAGATTTGGAGTATTTAAAAGTATATTCAGTATGAATATACAACCACTGAAACTCCACATGATGTACAATCACAAGAATGGGATCCCAATTAGAATAAGTTATACTCCATGTATGTATAATATGTCAAAATACATTCTACTATTATGTATATCTAAAAAAAAATAAAAGCCAAAAAATATATTCAGTAAAGCCTGAAGAATCCCACAGTTCCTTTCTTTGTTATTGCTTCTGATTTCTACCCTGTTCTGCCAGTTCCTACTTCCCTTCTTAGAAATTATCCATTTGGTTTATAATATCATTGAATCCTTACAATATCATTTTTACTGTTTTTTAGCTGGGGTTATAGGCATAAGCCATTGCACTAGGAGAACCTTTTTGTGACTTATTCTCAGTTAAAATTTCAAGTTTTGTTGCATTGAGTTCAGTGTTGTTTATAGTATTTTCACCTTATGGAATTCAGTAACATTTTATTGTGGCCTAATATATGATCAATATTTGTGCTGTCCTACACAAATTTCTTGGTGTAATGTTTATATATGGTATATACATCCATAAAATGTGCTTTATTAATTTTGTTGCATTTTTCTCTTCAATTTTTTTGTGTCTTATTGTTGATGTATTTCTGTTCATATTTTCTTACATTGCCTGTAGTATATTTTTTGCTTTATAAAAATTATTATTACTGTTTGAATTGGGGGCATTATTTAATGCTCATACCTTTATTTTGAGTTGTGACTCTCAGCATTAAGAAGGATCCTTTTATGCACATTTAATGGTATTTGGTTTAAATTCTGCAATATCTGATGTCAGGACCACTCCCACTGTTTTCTTATTGTTTCTGTTTTCCTGGAATACTTCTACTTATTCCTTGATATTTAGCCTTTTTGAATCATTTTAAGTTTAAATATCTAAATTATTAGATATTAGTTGTGTTTCTTGTATACAGCACATAGTTCAGTTTTGTTTTAGGATCCAAATTGCAAATCTTTTTTTTAAAAGAAATACGTTAGGCCTAGTCACATATGTTGATGTAACTTCACCCAGTCCTTGAAGTTAACCATCTTGTAACAGAGACTATTGTGAAATAACTATAGTTATAGTTAAAACTATGGTGATATGTTTGATTTCAATTCTATCATATTATTTGATAATTATGTGTTATGATATGTTTTCTGTGTTGTGTTTTCTATTAGATTTTACTGTGCTCCTTTATTTTTGAAATTTATTTGGTATTTAAGAAAACTTTTGATTTTGTTCTACTGGTTACTTTTGTACTTATATCTTTTTTTAGTGCCCTTAAAAAATAGGGGACTCTTTTCTTGTTTTACTATCCATTTTGTCAGTTATTTCTCCTTGTCCTCCTTCTTCATCTTCCTGTTTTCTGTTGAAAAACACTAGCATTTAAAATCATTCTATCTAGAATCTGGGTGGACAACCTGAGGTATCTCATCCTCTATAATCTGGAAGAAAGTGAGTAGAGATCACCAAAGTTTATCAACAGCATCATCAAAATTACTGAATGCCCTAATAGTACTTACTGTTCTGACATAAGCTAAACAATTATCTATCATTTTTCATTTCTTCTAGTGGATTATTTATATGTTACAGAATAGAAATGAAACTGAACCTAGGAATCAGGAATAATAATTACCATTTATTAAATATGTATTTCATGCTAATGCTGGGCTAAACACTGATCCTATATTACTTTATTTAATCAACTTCATAGGGTGCATATCTTTGTCACATAAAGGTGAGGGAGGTTAATGAATTTCATTATGATAGTGAAGACATTTAAGCCCAGTTCTGCCTGACTGCACAGACCATAGTCTTTTTATAACTTTTAAAAAAGTGATTTAGTTGTATCCTTGTATATGCCTGCACTGTAACTTAAAAAAATTGCTTTTTCAGTTTTTAATTTATCTTTTAATTTTTACCTGTAGCCTGTTTAACAGTCTGTGAGCTTTTTGTACTTTCACCTCTTCCTCCTTATACCTTCCTTTTTTTTTTTTTTTCTGGTGTGGTGGTTTTATATTAATCTTCATTTTGCTGGCTCCCTTCATTTCTCTTTCATCCAAGTTATTTTTTTCAGTAGCACACTGTGGTCTTTCCTCATTTTTTTCCCTCTTCCTTTTTGTTCTACTTATAACTATTTTTTGTCTACTTAAAGTTTTTTAAAAAAATATTTTTAGTTGTACATGGACACAATACCTTTATTTATTTATTTATTTTTTAATGTGGCGCTGAGGTTTGAACCCAGTGCCTCTCACCTGCTAGGCAAGTGCTGTACCACTGAGCTACAACTCCAGCCCATAACTTAAAGTTTAACAGTCTCTGTCTTCTAGTCATACTAGAGGCATTTTTTTTTTTTTTGGTGTAGTTTTATTTGTTCTTGTTCTAATTGCTTTTGGTAAACTCAGAATTAGGCAGTCACCATTGTTCACACCTATATGATAGTCAAGTAAACSCTTCTTAAAATGCTAGAGATACTAGTTATTGTGTCCTGCTGAGATCTTTTGTCATCCTTGTCGGTTGAAGAAATGGACCAAAGTAATCATATTTGCAATTCAAACAAATAACCTTGTTTGTACCAAATTCCATACCCCCTTAGCCATAGATGATAGAACCAGGAGAGATGCTACATTTAAACTCTGCCAAACACATATCTTTTGGGAATTTGAGCTCAAGGACATAGAGATGTATAGGATAGACTGTATAAGACACTGGAGCTATTTATCTTACAGTATCAAGACCACAGTGTCATGGAAACTGAAGATGTGGAGGAGCTCACAGAGGCAGGCAAAATGCAGAGCTTTGAGAAAAGCAGAATGGTGATGGAATGTTTAGAGCGAAAAGAGAATGAGTTAGGAAGAGAGAAGGCCAAAGACATGAGTATAAACAGTTTCTGATAACTCTCCAGTTTCCAGGAGTCCAGGTTGAATAATTTCTGAAAATATTCAGCATATCTGTCATTATAATAAATTTCCTTTATTTACTGAACTTTTTTTTGTGTTTCTGTTTTTTGCAACTAATTAATCCCTAAGATCAATTAATTAATTACTCAACTTTCCTGAATATGRTAGGTTTAAATAATGTTTATAAATAATATATTTAGGTATATTATGATGTCAGACTACAAACAGTGGAACTATTCACWGAATTAACCTGAGATGCTTTGATGGTATCAGATTATTAAATCTATTATAAGAATTTTGGATCTGKAAGGGATCTAGGAGGAATATCTAGTTCAAATTCTCTAATTTTTGAGAACAGAGGCTAAGGAAAAATGATTTGCCAAACTTAATGTGGTGGTGGTAATCGAACCCAGTGCCTCACACATGCCAGGCAAGCGCTCTACCACTGAGCCACAACCTCAGCCCCTAGTGTAGTTTTCATATGACTTCCTGTACTGGATTGAATGGTATATCCTCCCAAATTTATGTCCATTAGAACCTTGGAATGTGACTATATTTGGATTTCTTAAGTGGGCTTAGCTATACTTTGCATCCTTTAGGAAATAACAATGCTGTTGCCCTGGGGTTTTTAAGGTAGTATGTTACCAGAAGAGTTTACTTTTTCTCTTTTCCTTTTGAAGAATTAGTGGTGGAAGTTACATGAAATGTGTGCATGGATGAGTTTGCCTCTTATGGGCATTTTAATTTTCTGAAAATTGAACCCAGGGCCTTGCCCATGCTAAGTATGAGCTTTATMACTGTGCTACACACCCCCAGTCTCTTACAGATTTCTGATATATGATATTTTGAAATATTCTACTCTTGTTTTCAGATTGCTGAAGCTAAAGGAGATTTTTAACTCTAAGTTTGGATCTATTCCCAAGTTTTATGTTCGAGCACCAGGACGAGTCAACATAATAGGTATTTTAAACATTCCTTTAAATTTTTTGTTCCTCCTTTAATGAGATACAAATTCTTTTAATATAGTTCTTTCTTAATTTTGCCCCAAATAGAATATTTTACATGTATATCTATTAAGATACTCTTTTACACAATTCCTTACTTTCATCTTTCAACCAATTCATGTAATTAATGTTGCTTTTTCCCCATTCATTTTTAAAAATCTATATATTTGTTCAAACCCATTTGTTTTTATTGTTTTAATGGAAGATGAAAATTTTTTTCTATGCCATAGGTTATATCTTTAAAGTCTGGTGAGTAATTTGGATGACTGTACATTTTCTCATTAAGTTAGAGGGATGCTAAGAAATCCTATAACTTAATGCTTTTAAAAGTGTTGGCCCAGATTTTTCAGGTTTTCTAGGTGTATTTTTTTTTTTATAATTCTTCTCTGAAATGCTTTTGAATTTTAGTACTTTAAATAGTAAATTATAGCCTTTTAACAATTTCATTTACTGTTTTTCTGTTCACCTCTATGTATATTTATAATAATAGATACAGTTTTAATTATATTGCATATAATTTTTATTCTTTTTATCATTTAATCTGTCATAAATATTTTCCTCTTTCTGTAGAGGTCATAATTATTTTAATGACTTCCTAATAGCTTACTAAGTTGATATTTTATACTTTTATTAACAATTTTCTTCCGTTGTACATGAATTTATTTCTAGTTTTCAGTATTATAGTCATTGGATAGAAAAGAAACAGATGAGAATGTCATTATTTCTTTTTTCTTTTTTAATTTCTGGTGAGATTTTTCAGGTGGAAAGAAGTATGTAGAAGAGAGGATGTACCCTCTTTCATGGAACTTAAGTTCATTTCCACAAAAGGAATTGTTTTTATTCTGATCAACAAAATTGTTATCACTTGAGTTTTTATCATAAGCCTTGTTGAGATGGATATTATTTATGGAACATTGTTTTGAGAATATGTAGAACCTATTTTTTTGGTTCCTAAATTTATTCAAGATCAAGGTAGATTTCAGAAATATATATTGCTTACATATAGAGTTGTTTTCAACAGGTTTTACTTTATTATTTATCTATAATTTTATGAGATTCATTGTCAGGGTTATTGTAGAGATATTATGTAGGATATTTGTTGTGATTTCACTATTGTTTCTCTGAAGATACAAAGGAGAAATTTTGCATTGCTAAAGGTATGAATCATATATATCTGTGCCATATATTAAGTCTCCACTAACCACATTTGACTGTTTAAATTTAAATTAATTAAAGTAGTTAATTAGTAATTAAAGTAGTTAAGTAGTCACCTTTCAATGCTCAGTAGCCACATGTGTCTAGTGGTTTCTATATCAGATAGCATAGACATAGAACATTTTCATATTCATAAACATTCTATAAGACTATACTCGCATCCTAAAAGTTTGTTTTGACTGCCAGAAAGGTCAGGAAGAAAAGCTGCCTCTAGTCAATCTTGAGTTTGTCTCACTTATGTAGTCCTTGAGAGTGACCGGGTGGCTAGTTCCTCTCTAGGTCTAGAGCATAAGGAACAGTGGCTGCCAGATAACTTTTAAAACTTTGAAGACTATCTCATTTATATTTTTACTTATTTAGGACATAATTAATGTTCGAGGGGTTGAGTTGAATCTCTGTGTTTTGTCAATCCATCTTTGATTTTCCCATTTTCCTTTTCTCTATCTGGAATATCTTTATCCCATATCCAGGCTATGCCTAATTTTTGCCCATTCTTTTAAGATTCTGTTCAAATAACCCTGCCATAAAAGATGTCCTGAAAGTTACGCTGTCCACTCATTCTCATACATGGTATACCATAGTATTCATTGTTGTAGTAAGCCAGACCATTAGAGAGTTTCATATAATAAATGAACCTATAGTAGAATTTCTTTTCTACTATAGGTAGAAAACATCCTTTAATTAATTTCCTTTAACATCCTTCCATTTGAAGGATGTTAAAGGAAATTAGCCATATGGGAAACAACCTTGTGTGAATTYTTTTTTCTTTGACTCCTCAAAAAAACAAAAGAATTCATTTGGTCAGTTCAAGTTTATTTATAAGTAAAAAGGAAGAGAAAAGGTCTTACAAGAACAGGAACCAGGATCTGGGTATGTGGTTCAGTGGTAGAGCACTTACTTAATATACTGAGGCCCAATTTCAGTCCCTGGTACCACAATCAACATTATCATCATCATAAAATGAGAGCAGATGTAAGGGATAGTGCTCCCTGGTAGGTGGTGGAAACCTTTGTTATTGTTGCTCTCCATGTGGCTGGACTGTGCCATAACCCCTTGGGAGTTGTATGTCCTCTGAGTTTATTTATTGCTGTAGTTCAGGCCACAGGTCCTTTGCCACAGTGGGAGAATAGAACCTCTGGAATGGGTTTTTCTTGARAAGTTTGCTAATTTGTAGCAGTTGGTCAGTGATTTCTTATTAAGTCTGTCTGTCACCACCATGTGGTAGCTGGAACTCAGCTTGGAATTCTRTGGAAAAAAAGCAAAAGGAACCCAGTCTTTTGGTGGCTTTAAGATAATCATAAATGCCTGTTCTTGAGCCTAGTGGGCTTTTAGGTAAGATGTCCTGCCCACTGGGATGTATTGCTGAGCATTCAGCTTTGATAATGTTCTCAAAAATCTTGCACTCATGATTCCTCCTCCATTGGTCATGGAAAGCATTCCTTAGAAGCCAGTGGTTCCAGAGCTCAATTATCAATTGAGAGGTCAGTGTATCCTCCTCTTCCATGACCCTGTTATCAGCCATTGACAGTATAGACAAGTCCATTAAAACATTCAGCATTTTGTGTATCAAGTACATTGACAGATTCTGGCTACACACCTGACAAAGGCCTTATCATGGAGAGACCAAGTGCCTTTGAGTGGTAGTAGCACTCCAGGAACTAAAGCTGCAGAGTGAAAAGGAAACAAAAGAAGAGAAGCAGTCTGTTATCAGCTCAGTCCATCTCAAATGTCACCCTCCTTTTATTTTTTTGTTTTTTTGCCCTAAGGAAAAGCCCAGAGGTTGGCTCATTTCTGGTTCCTTTATAGCCTTCCCTGGCCCAATTCCTAGCACCATGTATTCTGTAAGGAGGAATAAGAAAAGAAACCCATCAGATAAATGGAGCCTCTTTGAATTGATATTCCTTCAAAAGTTTTGAAAACCTCTCTTCTGGAGGTTTTATCATATAGCCCTACAGAAGAGCCCAGAAGCCTTCTCTGAAACTGATCTGTGTCCAATCTATCTGAGTGGCTAACAATCCAGCAACCTTAGAATGGCCTAAGGTGGACATTCCAGTGATAAAAGTAAGAAACAACTGCCATGGACCCATAATCTCAAACCTGTAATTGAAATGTGCTCATGCCCACTGGCTTTTAGGGCTCTTTCTATTCCAGGGACTGTGTAGAGAGTTTCTTGCACCTTACTTGCTTTACCATGGCTCTGATGAAGGATAGATAATATCTTTTATTGAAATATTTATTAACTAAATCTTGAGTAAAAAGCTTTTGAGTAAGAATTTACAAATAGAATATTTTATTTTCATAAAACCTGAAGAAATAGATACTATTTCTATGCAAATTTTACATAAAAGTATCCAAATTGAAAACATCTTAAATTTAGCTAGAGATGAAAACATGATTGGTTTCTCAGAAGCTTCAGTACAAAGCTTATACTTATTGTGTGGAAGAAAACATTTTATACTGCTTTAAAGTCAGACTAAATAATCTCAGCAGTGATGTGTGGTTGACTTCATTACCTATTTTCATATTATTTACACTAGAGAAGAACTTCAATAATTTCTTACTAGTTAAAGAATGTTTGTGCGAATCTGAAACCTAGGCTTCTTGATTCTTTTACCACCATCAACATGAGCATTGGCCCATCATACTATAGAGGTGCCTGCTGATGAGTTTGACTCTGCTGTGCTCCTGCCTTTTCAGATAGGTCTGGGTATAACTAAAAGTCAGACTTGGCAGAGGACTCTCTTTTATGCTGAAACTTGAGTTTCCTTGCTTCCTGGTAGACATAATGTATCCCTTTATCCTGCAGCCAGTTCTTCAGGCCTTGTTTTGTAGTGCAGGTGAAAGCATACAAAATTTTTCTATACAAAAAAAGCATTTTCCACAAAAACAAGGCTTATACCTTTATTCAACACATACCTTGCTGAGAAAAGGAAATAGAGAAAGTAACTTTCTGTTTGCCTTATTGTATTAATGTTCAGTTATTGTTTTGACTACTGTCTTGAATATCTCCTATTTTTTTGATAGTACTTTTTCTACATTAGGAGCTGACATTTCCATAGAGACTTGAGAGTCTAAAATTATCAAGAACCATTAATATATTTGTGTCTTCATTTATGATCTATTTTATTGACAATAAAAATCCTACTACTTTCTTAAGGAAAAAAAAAATCCCAACAGAACCAAAGACAACTGAGCCTCATAACTTGAACTAGATCAGAGGCAGTGCTAAAGAAGAATGCAGCAAATTTTTGTTTTTTTAAATTTTACTATAGTCTTCTGTTATAAGGTGGTTAATTTCAAGGACTAATGTCACATTCCTCATGACAAAAAYACTCAGGGTCACTCCAGGTGAACTGGGCTGCACAAAATAACCATGCAAGAGACAAAGATACCTTTTTCTTTGGAGTCCTGTGATGGCTCCTCTGACCTTAAGGGTCCACAGAAAGAGAGCGAGCAAGAGTGTGCTGAACCCTTTTATTGAGGAGAAGCCATTCAAATGAGGCAAGGGGACGGGTTTCAGGGGGTTGAATCTAGCTTGTGATGTCTGCTGTCAGCAAGTTGACTGACATCTAGGAAGGTCACACCCAAAGGCAGAGCAAGAGAAGGGGACATACAAAGTGTTTCTATGGAACATTCAATCCCAAACAGGACAAAGGGGTAATATCACAAAGGACCAGGTGAGCGTAGCTCAATCCATGGGACGACATGCCTACATCTGAAGACGCGGCTTAAACTTCTGGGACCATGACGAGATGTAGTGACTGTCAAAGCCTCTCCATTCTGGGATGGAGAATGCAAATCATTCAGAGTAGCCTCCCACAGACTAAGTGAAGAACTCCATGTTTGGACAACTGAGTGGACAACTGTGTTCTAAGTGAGGGAAGAGGAGAATGTTAAGAGCTTATTTTCAGCTTGAAATGCCTTTGGATAGCCAAGAAAGGCACTAGGATATGAGCTTCTGAAGCTCATTGAGAAAATGAGGGGTTGAAGCTAGAGATTTGTTATGTGTCCTCTATGTGGCAGGCATAAGGATCGCCTTGGTGAGAATAAAAAGGGATATAGTTCCTACCCTCATTGAACAGTTCAATGGCAATTATGATGGAGTTCTTAAGCACTTTGATAGCATTGCCTTCAGACTGTGTGCAGCACAGCCCTAGGAATTCACTGGGGTTTGCTTGGGGGCTACTGTTGAGCAAGGATGCCAGTCATGCAAACGGCTCAACAAGAGGAGCCTCTTTTTCACATCCATGTAAAATTCCATTTGAACAAAAATATCTACGGCTAAACAACTTCTTAAAAAAATTTGACTGGGAAGCACAGGGTACAATAGAAGTTCATAGGTCACCCAATTCAGATTTGAAGGGGCTAGAGAAGTCTCTTGGAGGAAGTTATAAGTGGTGACTCTAGGATAAATAAGTTTTATCATGAGAAAATGGAATTGGGAGCTGAGAAAAATCCAGGGGTCAGGGGATGACTAAAAGTAAAACCTTTTTATAATGAAAAATATAAATATATAAAAAATTGCAATARTATAATAAAATCCCATGTACTTATCACCTAGCTTCAGTTATTATCAATTCAGGCAATCTTATTTTATTTTGAAGATAGTTATTAAGGACATAAAATATAGGATATATAGGTATAGTTATTGGGGAAAAGGTCACAAGGGAGTACCATCAAGGCAGAAGGTGAAGATAACTGAGGAACTGGTAGAACAGAATGCCCCTGAAGGCAAGAAGGACTGGTGTCTAGGCATTGGAGGATGTCCACTTTGACACTTAACAGGAAATAAGGAAGTGAAGTATGTCTGTTGATGTGGGTGAATGAATAATTATAGTATAGATGATTGAGGGAGTTTATGTGAAGGGTAGGAGAGAGAAGGAGCTGGTAATTTAGGAAGGCAGGAAATCGTTCTTGGATGAGAAAAAGAAACAATGGACAAATGAAAGGTTTGCTGGATAGGACCAAGATCTAGTTAAGAACTGGAGAATTATCAGTGGTGCAGTCCACAAAGTTGTGCATTTTCATTCTGCTTTAGCTAGTCTAAGCTGCCTGGGTTTTTGATGTAGGTTTGAGGTTTTATTTTGGATAAAGATTACAAGAGAATGACAGTAGACTAAAGAAGTTAATAATATTAGTAGGAGAGCAAGTGAAGTAATACACCTTGGAGTCTATGCTGATTAGAAAAAGAAAGAAAGGTAGGAATTTATAAAGGAGAGAAGGCAAAGAAATGAGTTTGAAAGGCAGGTGAAACTGAGTGAGAAATGGTAGGATGGAAAGTTTTAGTAAAAAGTATGAGATTTGAAACAATTTTCATAGGTAGACAATTCTAGGTGATAAGAAAGTCTACAGTCATTATTGGATTTGTCAAGGCCATGGAAGTATATGGCTGAAGCAGAGAGGAGTCGACTCAGGCTTTCTGGAGGCCAAGGAATTGAGAAGCTGGGGTTTTGGACTAAGTGGTTTGTCTGGATATTATCCAGTTAGTTGCAGAATGGGGAAGGAGAGGGAAATGGAACCACATGCCGAGGTCTTCAGTGAGGAGTAGAGTCACCAAGGAGTCATAGATGAAAGTAGTGAGGAGAGGAGAATATGGCATAAGCCTCAGAAGAAATACAGGAAAAGGGCTTGGAAATCAGAACAGGAGGAGGACATCAACTTCTTTTAATTGCCTGGGGTTGCAAAGAAGCATTATCCTTAGAGATATTGTTTTAGGGGTAGGATTTTCCTGATAAATAATTCCTATTCTAGTAAATTCRTTGATTGTTTTCTAATTTAGAAAGGTGTAGGTGGTTTGTAAATGATTCTAACATAACTAGTTAGTACACATAATAAAGTGAATTTCAGTCTTTCTTAAAAACTATTATAATTTCCATCAAAATATTGAGGATGTTATAGTTTTGTTACACTTTCTTCCCAGCAGGTCCTGCTCCTTCCCCACTGTTTCATCTGGGGTGATTTCTTTTCTTTTTCTTTTTTTAATCGGTTTTGACAAACAGAGAAATTGTTCATTTTCAGAAGGATGCCATTCATGCTGCCGCCTTCCCAACAGAATGAATGCCTCCTTAGCGTTATTTTTATTTGAATATATGTTTTCTACTTATTTTATATTGTTGTCCTTTTGAAGGTAGTTAGAGAAAGATAACTTTGAAAGCCAGCTTTTCATTTGTCATTATTAATCCCCCACAAAATATTTTAATGTCATTTTAAAGAGCACATCAATGTGGAAAGAAAATACTTATGCCCTATATRTAGAATAACAATATAATTATGCAATTGAATTGTCTTCTATTAAATTTTTGTTTCCTAGTTGATTATTATCTGCTATAGGAACAATCAGATATAAAAAATATGTACCAGGGAAATAAATGAGCTTGCTCATCTTATTTCATTTAGCATAATAGTCTCTAGTTCTTTCCATTTTCCTGCAAAAGACATAGTTTCATTTTTCTTTATGGCTGAGTAAGCTCATCTTTCTTAAATTTGTTATTTTGTGTTTTAAGTCTCATGACTAGTGACCTTGAGTTTAAATGGTAACTTGGGTAAACTGTTTTGGTATAATGGGGAAAAAATTTCTGCTGGTGATTCATAGAAGAATTAGAATGAAAAGAATAGTTTATTACCTGTATTTGCTTATATGTTGAAAGTGCAGCTTAAATATTTTTTTCCTAGCCTTGTCTAGCACATTAAACACAACTTATCAGTGCTGATCAAATTGCTAGACATTTGGTTATGCCACAATGATAACCAAAATCTTTATTTAGAGAGCCATTCGCTGGTAAGGAAGAGGGTGAAACCCAAATAATGTTAATATAAGGGAGAATGTACTTAAGCCTTCATTGTTTATATTTTAAATGTTAATACAAAAGAGAAACAGAGAAAGAATATATTACTTTTTKGTTTTATTCTTTTTTTCTCCCTTTTTTGTGCATTATAGTTGTACATAATGATGGAATTTGGTGTTACATATTTGTACATGCACACAATATAACAATAAAATTTGGCCAATAAATCTCCCTAACACTTCTCCGCTCCCTCCCCATCTCCTGCATGTTAGTCCCTTTCCTCTAATGATATTACTTTGATTTTCATGAGATTTGCCTTCACCTCTCTTTTCCTTTTTTCTTCTATMTTCCACATAAGGGAGATGACATACAACCCTTGACCTTATGAGTTTGACTTATTTCACTTAGCATAATAGTCTCTAGTTCTCTCCATTTTCCTGCAAATGACATAATTTCATTTTTCTTTATGGCTGAGTAAAACTTCATTGTGTGTATATACCACATTTTCCTTATCATTCATCAGTTGATGGACATCTAGGCTGGTTCCACAGTTTGGCTACTGTGAATTGTGCTGCTATAAACAGAAGTATGCATGTACATGAGTGTAATTCTTAAGGATAAATACTGAGGAGTGTGTATAGCTGGGTCATATGGTGGTTCCATGCCTAGTCTTTCAAGGAACTTTCATACTGATTTCCTTAGTGGTTATGTTAATTGACAGTCTCACCAACAATATAAAAATTAGTTCCTTTTTCTCTACATCCTCTCTAGCATTTATCATTATTTGTACTCTTGATGACTTCTATTCTGATTGGTATGAAATGAAATCTCAGGGTAGTTTTGATTTGCATTTCTCTAATTGCTAATGACATTGAACATTTTTTCATATATTTGTTGGCCATTTGTATTTCTTCTTTTGAGAAATATCTGTTTAATTCATTTGCCCATATATTACTTGGGTTACTTGATTTTTTTGGTGGAGATTTACTTTTCTTGATGCCATATGGCTAGTCACATAACATAAATTTTGAAAATGGTCCTTATGAATTAGGAATTGGAGCAAAGCTTAAGATTAAAAATATTCAAAATATTGACAGAAACCAACTAGTAGAAGTTTCTGGCTCAGATGTGTGGGGTAAAAGGAAAGCTGAATAACTTTCTTCCTATAGTATGTTTATTTTCTGTTAAAACATGGCTCATGGACAAGTTTTTCTTGTGTGTCAACTTACTTGAGCTTCTTTTGTTTCATATGGTAGCAGTGATTAAAAAAATGTTGTCTTTTCTAGGAGAGCACATAGATTACTGTGGATATTCTGTTCTTCCTATGGCTGTAGAACAAGATATGTTAATAGCTGTGGAACCTGTGAAAACACACACTCTTCAGCTGGCTAACACAAATCCCTTGTATCCGTGAGTATTTAGGATTGCCAATGTATGTGTAATCTGTGTATGTGAAGTATGGTGGTGTTTTTTGTACCCAAGTGGACTCTTTAGAAGATATCAAATTTAGAGTAAGTTATGTAATTTATAGATATTTCATACTTGATATTTGAAACTATCTAAGGCCACTATTTAATGTTTGTTCATTTTGTTCATTCATTTAAGAAACATTTATTGAAGACTTAACCATGTACTACACATTGTCTTAGATACTGAGCAATCTGTTCTTGCCCAGAAGGTATTTATCATCTACTGAAGTAACAGTCTCCAGAAAAGGCAGTTGTGCTGCCTTTCCTTTGTTACTATGGCATCCTTTAATTCTCTTGTCAGAACATCTTACTGGAAGGTATTACCATTATTTGTATCTCTCAGTATAGTATAAGCTTTGTGATTTTAGATATTGTTGTCACTCTTCTTTCATGTTCTAGCCTCATTATAAGACAATTTGATGCTTAATAGGGGTTTCTAGTATGTATACTTTATTAAGATGAATAAGTAGTTTTTTWAAAAATTTCTAGTTTACTAAGATTAAAAAAATTTAGCAATGGGTACTGAATTTTATTAAATGTTTCTTTAGTCTTGAAGATCAGTTTTTCTAATGTGGTGAATTACTTCAATAGATTTTCTAATGTTGAGCCATCTTTGCATTCTTGTGATAAGCCTTACTTATATAATCATGAGCCACATAATGATGTTTTGGTTAATGATGGATCACCTATAGGATAGAGATCCCATGAGGTTATAATAAAATCGAGAATTCCTATTGCCTATGTGTTTTAAGTCCAGTGTTATTACAAAAGAGTCAGAAAGGTTTTAAAAAGTTTATAAGTAAAAAAGTTATAGTAAGCTAAGGTAATAAATTGAAAAAAATTTTAGTAAGTTTAGTGTAGCTTAAATGTAGAGTGTTTATGAAGTTTTGTCATGTATAGAAATGTCATAGGCCTTCATATTTATTCACCATTCACTCACTCAAAGCAATTTCATCTTGCAAGCTCCGCTCATGGTAAGAGCCCTTTACAAGTGTACCATTTTAAATCTTTCATACATGCAATATTTTTTATTGTATCTTTTCTTTTTTGAATATGTTTAGATACACAAATACTTAATATTTTGTGTTATAATTGTCTATAGTACAGGTTTGTGGCATGGGAGCAATATGACTTAGGTGTATATAGGCTGTACCATTTAGGTTTATGTAAGTACTTTTTACTTTGTTGTTTGCACAGTGAAAAAAATTGCCTAATGATGAATTTCTCTGAATAAATTATTCTATCATTAAGTGATGCATCACTGTATCATTATAGATTTGATTATAAAAGAACATATAGTTGGCACATTTTATTTTTGGCTTTTTGTTCATCAGTCAGTTTGCTACAATGACATTCATTAGTTCAGCAAGTATTTTTGATAAGGCACTATATAAGGTTGTAGACATAGAGATTTCTTACTTTATATGAAGATTACTGCATATAATTTTTTTCCTACTAATTTTGTATGGTTTCTAACATAGCTTACCTACATTTTGGATCCTTTAAAGAAAAATTTATATTATCTCAAACATTTAAAAAAAATATATTTTTTTGTAGTTGGATCCAATACCTTTATTTTATTTATTTATTTTTATGTGGTGCTGAGGATTGAATCCAGTGTCCCGCACGTGCTAGGCGAGCACTCTATTGCTGAGCCACAACCCCAGCCCCTCAAATGTATTCTGTGCCATTGTTTATGAATATTTATGGCTGTAAAATGTTTTGTCATATCAATTTACTAAAATTAACTATTTCCACATTAGTGAATATATGGTTTTGGTTTCATTTCTCACAAAAGCAGATCCAGAGATAGACTTGGAAAAAAAGTAGAATATTTGGCAAATGATCCCAGGAGCAGTAGTGAAAGATCATGAAAATTGAATTAGGGAAGTAGGGGTGAATTATCAAGGTAGATAGCTCCTATTTTTCTTGGTGAATAGTAGTGGAGTGTTTGGCTTACCAAAATTAAGAAATTTTCTGTTTTCCAAAGTGGTTGTACTGTTTTATGTCCTTACCAGTGTTGTATGAGAGTTGAAGTAGTTCTACATCCTTGTTAGCATGTGTTGAAGTTTTTTTTTTGCAAATACTCAAAATAATTTTATTTGTTTTTTGCTTCACTATTATCTTTCTTAAAATCTTTATTCATTTATCTTTTTATTTTTAAAAATAATTTTTTTAAAAAGAGAGAGAGAGAAGAAAGAGAGAGAATTTTTTTAATATTTATTTTTCAGTTTTCAGTGGACACAACATCTTTATTTTATTTTTATGTGGTGCTGAGGATCGAACCCAGTGCCCTGCACATGCCAGGCGAGTGCGTTACCGCTTGAGCCACATCCCCAGCCCTTAAAAATAATTTTTATTTATTCTAATTTGTTGTACATGATGGCAGAATGCTATTTATTTATATTACACATATAGAACATATTTTTTCAAGTCACTGGTTGTACACAAATATTTTCACACCATTCGTGTCTTCATACATGTACTTAGGGTAATGATATCTAACTCATTCCACCATCATTCCTACTCCCTTGCCCGCCCCCTTCCCCTCCCTCCCCTTTGCCCTATCTAAAGTTCCTCCATTCTTCCCATGCTCTCCACTCATCGCCATTATGAGTCAGCATCCTCATATTAAAGAAAACATTTGGCATTTGTTTTTTTGGGATTGATTTGCTTCACTTAGCATTATATTCTCCAACTCCATCCATTTACCTGCAAATGCCATGATTTTATTCTCTTTTAATGCTGAGTAATATTTCATTGTGTATATATTCCATAGTCTCCCTATCCGTTCATCTACTGAAGGGCTTCTGGTTTGGTTCTACAATTTAGCTATTGTGAATTGTGCTGTTATAAATATGTATGTGACTGTGTCCCTGGAGTATGCTGTTTTTAAGTCCTTTGGGTAAAAACCGAGGAGTGGGATAGCTGGGTCAAATGGTGGTTCCATTCCAAGTTTTCCAAGGAATCTCTATACTGCTTTCCAGATTGGCTGCACCAATTTGCAGTCCTACCAGCAATGTATGAGTAGGACTTTTCCCCCACATCCTCACTAATACTTACTATTGTGTTCTTAATAGCTGCCATTTTGACTGGAGTGAGATGAAATCTTATATTAGTTTTGATTTGCATTTCTCTAATTGCTAGAGATGTTGAACATTTTTTCATATGTTGATTGATTGGGTTATTTGGTTTTATGGTGTTAAGATTTTTGGGTGCTTAATATATCCTAGAGATTAGTGCTCTATCTGATGTGCAAGTGGTAAAGATTTGCTCACATTCTGTAGGCTCTCTCTTCACCTCACTGATTGTTTCTTTTGCTGAGAAGAAGCTTTTTAGTTTGAATCCATCCCATTTATTGATCTTGGCTTTAATTCTTTTTTTTTTTAAAGAGAGAAAGAGAGAGAGAGAGAGAGAGAGAGAGAGAGAGAGAGAGAGAGAGAGAGAGAATTTTTAAAAAATATTTATTTTTCAGTTTTTGGTGGACACAACATCTCTGTTTGTATGTGGTGCTAAGGATCGAACCCGGGCCACATGCATGCCAGGTGAGTGCGCTACCGCTTGAGCCATATCCTCAGCCCTTGGTTTTAATTCTTAAGTTATAGGAGCCTTATTAAGAAAGTTGGGACCTAATCCAACTTGATAGAGATTTGGGCCTACTTTTTCTTCCATTAGGCGCAAAGTCTCTGGTTTAATTCCTAGGTCCTTGATCCACTTTGAGTTGAGTTTTGTGCATGGTGAGTGATAGAGGTKTAATTTCATTCTGGCACATGTGGATTTCCAGTTTTCCCAGAACTGTTTGTTGAAGAGGCTATTTTTTTCTCCAATGTACGTTTTTGGCACCTTTGTCTAATATAAGATAACTGAAGTTATGTGGGTTAGACTCTGTGTCCTCTATTCTGTACCATTGGTCTAAAAGTCTATTTTGGTGCCAATACCATGCTATTTTTGTTTCTGTTGCTCTGTAGTATAGTTTAACGTCTGGTATAGTAATGCCACCAGCTTCATTCTTCTTGCTAAGGATTGCTTTGACTATTCTGGGTCCTTTATTTTTTCCAGATGAATTTTATGACTGCTTTTTCTATTTCTGTAAGGAATATCTTTGGATTTTGACTGGGATTGCATTGAATCTGTATAGTGGTTTTGTTAGTATGGTCATTTTTGACAATATTAATTCTGCCTATCCAAGAACAAGGGAGATCTTTCCATCTTCTAAGGTCTTCTTTAATTTCTTTCTTCAGCGTGTTGTAGTTTGCATTGTAGAGGTCTTTCACCTCTTTTGTTAAAATTTATTCCCTAATATTTTAATTTTTGAGGCTATTGTAAATGGGGTAGTTTTTTAAGTTTCTTATTCAGTGGATTTATCACTGATATACAGAAATGCCTTTGATTTATGGGTGTTGATTTTATATCCAGCTACTTTGCTGAATTCGTTTATTAGTTCTAGGAGATTTCTGGTGGGATGTTTTGGATCTTCTAAGTATAGAATCATATAGTTGGCAAATAGTGATAATTTGAGTTCTTCTTTTCCTATCCATATCCCTTTAATTTCTTTCATCTGTCTGATTGCTCTGACTAGAGTTTTAAGAACTATGTTGAATAGAAGTGGTGAAAGAGGGCATCCCTGTCTTGTTCCAGTTTTTAGAGGGAATGCTTTCAATTTTTCTCCTTTAAGAATGATGTTGGCCTGGGGCTTAGCATAGATAGACTTTACAGTGTTGAGGTATGTTCCTGTTATCCTTAGTTTTTCTAGCATTTTGAACATGAAGGGATGCTGTATTTTATCAAATGCTTTCTCAGCATCTATTGAGATGATCATATGATTTTTATCTATTGGTGTGATGAATTACATTTATTGATTTCTGTATGATGAACCAATGTTGCATCCCTGGGATGAACCCTACTTGATCATGGTGCACTATCTTTTTGATATGTTTTTAT